ATACCTACATTATATTTATTTGATTTTTTCTTTGTAGATTTTAATCTTTTGAGGTTTTTCACTTTCTGAATTGAAAAACATAACCTCGATTTAGCATGCGGGATACCGAGCTTACATTGTATAGAACCTACAAGAAGAGCACTTAACGCAAATGAATAGCCGCTTATCGCATCACCACAGCTCTTCATATGCTCCAATCTATAAAAAGAAGTTGACAAAGATCCAAAATTTTTCAGAAGATCATTTTGGATTTAAATGTTTGGTGCTGTAATGTGTACCTGTTGACACAACGATCAATTAGAGGAGTTAGCTGTGATGGGACGCTAATAGTTACACATCGCAAACACCATGAAGCAGCTATTCGAGCAGCTTGGACTGGATGCAGAAGGCAAGCGAATACAGGTTCCATTATACCTATAATTAAAAATCCTAACTACAGAATTTCTGAAATTCGAACATTTGATTACATAAAACCACTTGTTATCAATATTAATAACTTTTATAAGCAACAGTATTATTAAATGCATGAAGTACTAGATAGCCCAAAATAAAAAAAATCTATCTTTTCTACAAGTAATATTTTCAGTCTCAAATGTTTGTCAAATTATAATAAAAGAAAAACACATACCTGATGCTTCAGTGAAAAGAGGTGTCACCGCAGTACCAATTTGTCGAACCAAACATGAAATCTCCAATAAAATGATGATCGCTGTCTGTGCACTGGCATATGTTTCAGGCCCAAGCATTTTTTCATTTCCAGGATCCAGATTGTAATCGGCTGATAATTTCAAATAAAACCAGTTTATGGAATTAATTTCTTCGCAGAAAAATTGATAAAGTAGCTCGAATCAAGTAGTTTGACGGGCGGAACTTTGCACCTCACCCTAGTTGATATCTTGAACACAGTTTCTGCAGGATCTTCATATTTACGATACAGTGTGAGTACGTCCAACAACAAAATAAAAGTGTGGTTTTCTTAATTTCAGAGATTATTATCAGTAGTCGAAACTTCACTGTCACTAGTTACTACCAGAAGCAACTGTTAACTCAGAATGTGTTTCGCAATTTTCCAGTTTTAGGAAAATTTAAATGATATTTGACAATGAAATTCAGATTTAAATGCTTCCTAAAATATCTTAAATCTGATTGAAACCAAAGTTAAAGCACCTACTAACCAAAAGAATTAATACAATCGGCTAAAATTGTGCCCAGCTGTTTGCAAACGGCAATTTGTGCTTGCTCACTCAGAATTGTACCAACAGTACTCCGCAATATATAACCAATACATCGCCGCATATAGACCACTTCAGCAGCTTGGATAGGATTACTGAAAACAAAAACAAAAGAAAAGAAATCAAATTATGAAACAAAAAGGAAAATCAAATTATGTTTAAAGCCTATCCGTTATTTTTTCGAATTCTGAAGACTAAAAGATTTTTGATAGCAGCATAAGAAGTTGAAGAGAACTGTATAACCTTTTTAATAACTATATAATTACATGTAATTACTTTAATCATCAAATAGTTAATAAAGACTCACTTCGTATAGGCTAACGGCCCACATTTTGCAATAACATCCATTAAATGTTTGATAATAAATATAAGATTTTTTTCCAGCCATAATGGACCAAGCTCTCTCAATAACGCAACGTAAGCCTAAAATCCCGAGAATTCTAGTAGATTAAAAAAAGTAAATTAAAATTCCAAACTCGAAACTTCAGATTTCTCTTCCTGGAAGAATTACATCAACATACAAGTGCAACTCCAATTCGTATTTCTTTCTGTCCACCAGCAACTGCAACGGTGCCAGTTTTTAAAAAGCCGCCAATCCCACCTCTCAAAAATCCGTGCGACAAAATACCGAAACAATCCTCAATTGTTACTACCTTCAAGGAAGAAGCATTTTGCTGATTTCTATTGCCTGTAATTGTAAATGACTTACGGAAAAAAATATAAGTTTAAATAAATAAGACTGAAGCAATATATTCTGCAATTTTCATTCTCATTTTTATATATACTTTTTTTCACAACTCATCAATACTGTCCTTTCAAATTCTTACAGAAAAGGTTTTACCAATACCTAGTATCTCAGAGCAAAATTGTTAATTTTCAAATATTGCATTATACAATTTCCGTATAGTTATAATTCATTGAGACGTCCAGCAGCTAACTGCAGCAGTGCAAGTAGCAAACAGGTCTTCTATACTACTACGATATGAGTAAAATCCCAAAAAAGCCAAAAGATAAATCTACATCTACAGAGGGAGAATAAACAATTTACCAGACATATACCGTCTTGGAGGATTCATAGCAGTACATAGTAATGCACCGAACAGTTGTGCCACTGCATGACGTACTTCATAATTACTCGATTCAAGAGCTTTGAAACACAATGTACCAATACTTTCCACTTCGTTAGTGTATAAAAATGGATACACCGGGATTAATAGAGTAAGACACTAAAATTAAGAAGTCTATCCTAACAGAAATAGCTGAACAGTGAACTTTGAAATTCAGTACAAAAACTGGTGTATCCGTATTTGGAAATAAACTAGACCAAGACAAGAAATAAAATTACATATTTTTTCTTTTGATCAAAAATATAAAGCTGAATTTAAGACTAAAAAATATAAAGCTATAAAGCTGAATTTAAGACCATTCATTAAATGCTAATATATTTAGATAGACATAATAGTTACGAAGTAGAACTAAAATCTATATACATAACAGATATAAAAACATAAAGCTAACATTAATTGCAGCCGTCCTAACCATTACGACTCGATCTGACATGTGTGTTTTAAGAATTTTATACAAATCCTTGTGAATAGAAGATGCACCAACACCCAAGCCTTTGACCAGTTTAGCAAATGTATACAGTAATTCGGTGCGCCCTTGAGACTAAAAGCTCCATCTTTCAAAATCTTGAAATTCTTTTTCTTACCATGCTTCTCTTGCAAAACTCAAATAGCAAAACTCTGTCCTGGTTAGCAGGACATAACTGCAAGAACGAACATATCCCCGCCCCCCCCCCCCTCCCACTCTAAGGCATTCATTACGATTATAAATGTTAATCTACGAACGCCGTACATAACCTCAGAATATAGATAGGTTTCCTCAAATATCTTTCGGAAGACCGTCGTGTTTTTCCTCACAGGTTATGCGCGTAAACCACGACGAAACATTCCATTTCGAGTGGATGTCGAACTTTTCACTAACGACCGGATGAGAACTAACCCAGTTGGCCATACCACTCCTTAGCGGTACAACCACTAACTATTAACATATTAACTATTAACCTCTGCATTTTTCAACCATCTCGCCATATGGTGGAAAGATTCTTCATAACTCCGACCTACCAATCTACCCAGTGTTTCATACATAGCTCCCAAGCATCGCAAAGCGGCCCTAAAAAGTGATATTTATTTTTACTGACCAACGACGTCTTGATGTATTTGAAATTTTCAGGTCTAATATTATGCAGTTGCGAAAAATTACTAGATAAAGATTTGAAACAATTCTTTTAGCCTCAGCAGCAATATAAATCAAAAACTAACAGTTTGACTGGGAGGTGCGTTGGCGAATCATCTCGTCCTTTTAGAATATCGTTGCAGGTGTTTATTGTTTCAAAAAGGCTATACGTGTCCCCAACTGAGTACACCTGAAAGAGTAACCTTAAGCATCGTAATATATAAATATACAAATATTAAAAAACATATAAATTTAAAGCACGAACTCTGAAGACATTATTAATTTTCTAACAGAAATAGAATGAATACCTGTGCAATACATTTTGCCAACAGTTCCCTGGTAGGTGGTCCTGGTGCAGCTAAAATGCGTGATGTCAGCTGTTCAATCAGCTTCTTCTGTACAGATTTTATGTCAGCCTGAAATTACACCAACAACTAAACTGTGAATATTCTCTAAAATACTGAAAGTTTAATAAAGAAATATTTATGTGAACTGATTTTTAAAAAGAAACTAGTGGATGGAAAGAATACACATATATTTAGATGATGCAGACCTTTTGAGCAGCGGGTAATATGCGATCAAGATATCGTAACCACTCGTATACAAAAACAGGTTTTCTGGAATCCGTACAAAGTTTCAGTGCTTCTTCATTTAACAATAATGAATTTGACTGCTCCATCATTTTGACCAATGGCTACAATACCATGAAGTCTTGAGAAATTCATATAACAATGATTCCTATGTGTCAGCGACTGCAATTATTTTCAAGAATGCGTATGTCGAGCGTTTCTGCAAAATATAATTAACAATACCGTTTGTCCTAATAACTCCATGAAGCCGTGAATAAAATGAAATACAGTACAAACTGCATCAATAAATTTAGGAGACGAAAGCTGACCCAACTGGCTTGCAATGATTACAATATTTAAGATACACCGTTCCTCAATTTGGAAATATCAAAACTAGCCCTAAAATATAGAAACTATAGTCACCGCTCAATGCGTTTGATATCAGCAATTCCAATAACTGTTTTTATATTTAAGAGTTAAATGACAAGGTTGGATAAGACAGCAAACAAACTGTTCGAGAACACTTAATATCAAAATATGTTTTATCTAATACAATTGAGAGCCAAAATGTGAAATTAAAACGTAAGACTTATATTGTTAAAACATATACAATCGAGCAAACCACAACAATCTCCAGGCCTGTTTCGGTGAAGTGGTAAATACAGCAGACTTTTAGAATAAGAAAAATAATCAGTTATTACGTTCCTGCTATACGTTTTAATGAGTTGCGCTGCTTTCCACCTGAATCAAAAACAGAGTTTTTTGAAACAGAAATCCATTTCATTTCGATCCCTTTCACAAATTTTTTTCCGAATAAAATCCTCAGATATTAACTTGCATTAAAACGCTGAATTTGTATATAACGGAAGGACAGAATCAATACAATCAGCTTAGTAATACAGTAATAAAGAGCAAAAGAAATGACTGGAAAAGTAGGGAGCACATACTTCTGTACAACTTCGTTAAGTATCGGAAAAAATGAAAATGATAAAAGAAAATTATAGGTTGGTGTACTAAAAAAAATTTATTGTGGATGCGCATTCCAGTCAGTACCGCTTACACTCTTAAACATCTCCATGGTCCAAAATCTAAGGTTTCAGGAATACTTCTTCTTCTAAGAGAATCTATTAATGCAACACTTTTCTCTTCAATAAATCTGTTTCAAAATGTGCAGCTGTCAATGTGCCAGGCAATCGTTCGCACTGAGGATTAAATACAGAATAAGCGCTCAACTCATTTGACTTTCGTTTTCCTAAGTTGATAAACAAAAAGACAAACAATGAAGAAACAAAAAATACAAGACCAAATTCAATGTAAGTGAAATACCACTGAGCTATAAGCCATGACAATGTTGCAACAACTATGCATAAACGTGGCCATTGATAGTAGAAGTATGACCACAGCTGGATCGGTTTTAGGAGAATTTTTATAAATTTGTTGCTGGTAATGGACTGCATGGCTACGTTCCCACTACTCCTGATCTGCCTTTCATAAATCGTGCCACGATTTGGAATCTAGAAAGTTTTTCAATTTGAATTAAAGCTTTCATAATTTCTTCCAAAAGAAAAAAATTGCAAGGGAACTTCTCAATTCTTGAAACGTATTTAGATCGACTTTTAAATTGATTGTTCCGTTACGAAAACTATGCTACTTATCTCTATTTAGGGAACTGTAATTTTTGTTACTGTATATCAAAACGATTTTGAAGACTTGATGATAACTAACAAAAATTAACAAATACCATAGTTACTTTTCGACTTATTTTCATTACAGAAGAACCATTTATCCTCAATTAAATCGGTCTTAACCCCTTAAAATGATAAAACAAAAAGAACCCGGTTATTGATAAAAAAACCTAATGATAACCTTACTGTTACCAGAGCACTTTCTTTCTTTCGGTATTCAGCTAGTCTTTCTTCCACACGTTTCATCCTTTAGTGTTCTAGTAAAAACTCGTTGTAACTAGCACTGCCGAAATTGCTGCACTCACAGAAGCAGTACACGAAGGATTTTAACCAGTAAAAGTAATAACCACTCTCCCACCCCTACAATGTCCACTCACGAGCAGTCTATATGTAACTCATGGAAATGCGGTAATAGCATGAAAATCTTCTATCCTCTTTACCAATTTGCACTAGACCGTTCAAAGATAAGTGATCAGTAGTGTAAGAGGACGAGGTCATTTGAGTAAACTGTATGTCCTCTTTCTCTTTTCACCTTTAGTTTACAGCAAATCACATTGATGGGCGAGAAAATCAGAAGATTAGAAGGATGAAGATAAGTATCGGAAGATGACAAATATACAAAGTCTATTATGGCGTACACTCGCTTAAAATTGCTTTTAACAGTAAAAGTTTAGCGATGATTTTATTTTGAATGTTATGATTCACAATAGACGGCCACACTGGTGAGATTTATGGCTGCAGCATTGACTGGTGTTATTCGAGTTAAGTCAAAATTCTGAAATTACTGAGCATTGCTTATTACGACTTTTAAGATTACCAGTAATGCTCTGTCAAATTATCAATTTATGTCTTAGAACTGAAAAATGCAAAACGTACGAGGTCGAGCTCGGATGTTGGGACGACGCCATGCCCGGGTGCATTTCAATTTGGGTGGCAGGCTTAGGCCATCGACATCACATGAAATTTTTCCAGAAGATACAACACGCGACTCTATTTTGAAACAAATTTCAGGTCAAATGTTGAAATTCTCAGGGTCAAATCTCAATAGGAATTCTCTTGATTTCTCTACTTTATAAGTTGGGCTGGGAGGAGAGGAATAATTGGTATGAAAAATTTAGGTAAAGTTAATTAACATTGCTAATACATTAGTAAAGTAACAATTCCAAATTTCTCATTACAGCTCGTATAAAAAAATCGGAGAGAGAATTATCCACTTGTAGAAATGGAACAAACGAACTGTTAGACGTAACAATTTGTTACATTATGTTTTTCATGCAAAAACGATGAAATTTTGTGCAAAATTTTTCTGATCATTGCTCCTTTACAGAAACGGGACTTATTGTTATTGTACTTTCTAAAGGAAGAACTTTTGATGAACTTCTTTCAAGCATACTGGGGATTTCTTAATCGATGATTTTGTTCCTTCGGTGTCCCGGCCTCCTCTTCAGTTTTTCTCTAAACTTTTTTAATCTGAGAGTGATCGAATTAATGTGGGTAAATGGTTGATCTCAGCTCATTGAGTACTCATTGGTTGGAAGATAAAATAACACTAAATGTTTGAGTTGTCTGAACAATTTTTATTAAAATAAAACTTAAAATATCAGCAGATCCCAGAGGATTCATTGACAGCCGCTCGAATTAGTCACGAGCAATACTTACTGGATGATCTAATCGATTATGTTGAATCCTTGGTTGGCGATGAAAACAAGTTACAGATTATCGTGAACAAAGTACTACTTGTTAATTTTTAGTAATGTTTTGATAATAGGATGTAAAAATAAATGGTGAATTTCTAACGGAATCTTAGTTTCTTTCTTTTTTAAAAAAAAATTGTGTAGTTCCGTAAGAGGACCGCAATAGCTTATGTAATGTGTCGATAAAAATAACATATTGCTATAGTTATCCTCTACCGGAATATGTAATTTGTTTATGGGATTAATATAAGACCTGCATTCCAAATTTCAGGATAATCAACAATGGTATGCGAAACAGCTAAGACATAGTTTGTTAAACTGGATTGCACGCAATGAAACGGAGCTTCGAGAGGTACGATATTTCTGACTTTGCTATTAGGTCTTATTATTCAAATTTCCAGATTAATAGCAGTTGTTTAGCTGATGGAAATTTCCTTTGGTCTTTCTTTTCTATTAAAATTTCTAAAAATTGTTTTAAGCTTGCTGAAAGGTAAAATTGGCTTATAATTAAAGATCGATGCATTGGAAAGTCGAGTAATGAAGCGTTATTTGCAAATAAATCGTGAAAATGGATATCTGCAACGCATATTCAGAGATATGAAATGTTTCACAAATTTAATCAGTGATAGTTTTAAAACTGTGGAGGTATCGCCCGAGCCGACATCTATTGATACCAGCAAAACACAAAGCTCGCTAACAGGTCACGAAAATAAAGAAAGAGGGCTTTAAAGTAGTAAGGTATAACGTCTGGCCTTGATAACAATTATAATAATAACTGTATTTAGGGTAACAATAATAAGTGCAGATATATACATATATATATATATATATAATATATATATATATATATATATATATATATATATTTATTT